CGTTACTTTAATAAGACTTTAATATGATGAGATGATCTTCAAAATCAACCAATCATAATAAAGCCCGCTATGCTCTATGGAGTCCCTTCTTTTCCCTAATTTCAGAAATTCGAGTGGTATCGAAAGATAACTCACGGATAAGTCTTTTTAATACGATAGAGTCCTCTGCTTTAGTCACTTTCTTGGCTTTTTTATCGGAAGGTTTTTCGGTTGATTTATCCGTAGTTTCATTAGCCCGCTTTTTACTGGTAGAATCAGATGATTCTTCAACTTGGTCTTCAGTTGGCTCATGCCGATGCTCTGTTTCTTCATTTTCATCTACATCCATTGCCTGACCCTGGGAGGAAGTTCGTGGTGAATTAAATCCAAGATTAGTGTTAAATTCGTCAACTAGGGTTGATGTGCCACTTATTTGAGAAGATGTAGAGTCTCGTCTTGAACCCTCATCAACAACATCAACGCTTTTACCACAGTTAGGGGAAGGGCATATACTTGGTGTTGTATGCATAATTTTTTTCTCGATACAAACTCTGTGGAAGACATGTCCACACTCGAGCGTAGTGAATGCTTTATAAGCAATTGATAGAATATCTTTGGTACAGATTGAACATTTCGGGATCTCTGGAATTTCTATATCCTGAACGATACTTTCTCCTGTGATCTTTAAGATATTATAAGCAAGAGATTTGAGGTTAGAAAAGGCCATAATGACGGTGATAACCAGATAAGTAGTTTCATACCTGTTTTATATTGTGGTTATGAAGTAACACACTGATCAATATTATAAATTCTGCCCTTTGATGGAATCGATAATATTGGATGAAGGTCTTAAATGAATCTCGGATGACGATCCCAAATGAAATATACTGATTATCACGTATTAAAATTAATTATGGAAAAATGATCTTCTTGGTCTGCTTTATTTGTGCAAAAAATAAATTACACAAGTACATATGAAGCACAAAATCTACCAATTATTCTGTAAATTTTTTGATCCTAGCCTTCTTACTGGCTGGGGAATTATCAACACTAATTCGATCCTTCAATAATCCAACGATAACACCTAATACCCGTCTTACACCTTTTCGAATAGAGTCAAGATCTTCTTTGAGCGCCATTTTAGAAAGATTAATTGGATATTCGCTCTTACACGTACAAAAAAGTCCATCAGTAGCAAACATAATGAAATGCCATTCCGTAGCTAAAAAATAAATCCAATGATAGTTAAATTCATGTGATCTGAAAAATTCCAGGGCGAAGCCATGCCTTGTAAAGGCACTCTTAAGAGCTGTTCCACAATAGAAAAATTCACGTATATACCTGTAGACACGATTCCATAGAGGTAATCATAATCATCATCTCGAAATGCTTGATCAGCTGTACGTTTTTTCTTATTTGTTTGGTACGCACTTTCTAGTTGCATAATATTCTGGAGATAACCGATTTCGACATTACGAGGTTTACCTTCAGCTATGCACATGAGATCTTCGTTTCCTTTGATAGCATAGTCTACACGTCCAGATGCCTCCTCACCAGAAATGTTTTTTTGATATGACATGTAGATTTTTTCCTCATTTGTAAGTCTTCGAACGATTGCTAGCGATGCGTTTAGTATAGATGTGATAAATACACAGCGGGTAGCTTCGTTGGCGTTAGTTTGCATCGTTTCTAGATTCGAAAGTCTTAGTGTTATTTCATTCATGCACTGATCAAGTGCTTTGTCGTCGTCATCGATTTCCTCGAATACTATACAACAGAAAAAATGTTAGCATTTAACCTATGTTCGATCGTTCCCCAAGGGAACGGTTTTTGCCGATCACTTTTGCCAGAGCGGAGCTCATTTTCCAAAATAGAAATTTGCGAGACCGAGCGGTCCCGGAAAAATGCCAAGAAAAATAATGTATTACTTAGGATTATGATCCTCTTGTGGATTTGGGAAACAAGGGCAAACAATTTAATATCGAGTTTCTTGTTATCCCTATCCATGGATTTTTCGGATTTCCAGCCAGCTA